CCCCCCCCCCCCCCCAGCACGGCCAACCATCGGGCCACGAAGCCCTGTGGCCCAGGAAGCTCCGCCCTTTCTCATGACCCCGCCCCCAAGGTTACAGCTCTGGCCTTCCTCCAAAGCTTTTTTTTTTTTTTTTTTGACAGGCAGAGTGGACAGTGAGAGAGAGAGACAGAGAGAAAGGTCTTCCTTTGCCGTTGGTTCACCCTCCAATGGCCGCCGCGGCCCGCGCGCTGCAGCCGGCGCACCGTGCTGATCTGACGGCAGGAGCCAGGAGCCAGGTGCTTTTCCTGGTCTCCCATGGGGTGCAGGACCCAAGCACCTGGGCCATCCTCCACTGCACTCCCTGGCCACAACAGAGGGCTGGCCTGGAAGAGCGGCAACCGGGACAGAATCCGGTGCCCCGACTGGGACTAGAACCCGGTGTGCCGGCGCCGCTAGGCGGAGGATTAGCCTAGTGAGCCGCGGCGCCGGCCTCCTCCAAAGCTTATTTTAAAAAATGCTCTCCCCTCTGGGGTCGGGGATGGGCTGCCCAACTGCTCACCTGTGAGGCGGGAGGGGGCAGGGGGCAAGAGCAATAAGGGGAAAAGTTACAGCAGTGTTAGCTTTTTCTGAATTTTTTTGTTAACCGCCCAAGTTCAACCCGGGGCCTGCACTGGCCGAAGCCCTCGCCGCTCCTCCAGTCTCAGGGAGCGGATGTCTGCTTTGTGGCCCTGGCTGGGGGCTCTGGGCCAAGTCTCGGACACCCCGTGAGTTCTGCTCGCTCTAGTAAATCCTCATCGTCTACACTTGCCGCCTCTGCGAATCGTTCAAGTCGTCGTCCGGGGAGCCTTGCACCTACGGAACCGTGGGTCCCTTCCCTCACCCCGGCATCTGTGTGGGCGCCACCTTTCCCTCGCCTCAGAGAGCCCTCGGTCTCCCTCGGCTCAAACGCTGTCTGCCCTTCAAATAAAGTGGAAGTAGACGGGGTGTGTGTGTGTGTGACTGGGTGCTGGGCTGGATCCTGGCCTTCTGCTTCGGGTCCAGCTTCCTGGTAGCGCCTGGGAAGGCAGCAGGCGATGATGGCCCAAGTGCCCGGGCCCTCTGCTCCTGCGGGAGACCGCTGCCCCCGGGGCACTGGGAAAGGCTCCAAGGAGGGTGCAGCAGGCTCCCCATCTCCACCCGGAAGGACAGGGAGACCTGTTGGATCGTGGGAAAATTCACCGAGATCCTGCAGTTCCAAGGATGGCTCCCCCCATGGGGGAGTGACCAGCGCTGTGACCTCGCCCTGTCTCTCCCCTCTGTCACCCTGCCTCCCAAACAGATAAATCTCTAGAAATCACTAAGTAAAAAAATTTAAAAAGACAAGTTTATTTTTTAAAAAAGAGAGACGACTCACGGCCCCGGGAAATTCTGCGTTTTATTTGTTCTCACCCCAAGGATCCGCCCCTACCCACCCCCCAGATGCTGCCCCTCCCCCAACACCTTCACACAACACTGATTCTCTCCCGGAGCTAAAACGACCCCCAGCCACCATCTCGGCCCCTCACCCACCCATCCACCAGCTCTGGGAACCTGGCTCCCTCCCGGAGCTTGGCTGGGCCCCTGTTACTCTGTGGACCCCTCACCTCCCTGCCCCACTCCCCCGCACCCCTGCACGCGAATGGGAGTCTGGGCTGGAGCCAAAGATCCCAAGAGCCTGGGGAGGGCAGAGGGCAGGAGAGGCCGGGACAGGGCCTTGTACACCTAGGGCCGCCCCTCCCCCTAGCTGCGGCCCCTCTGGCTCCCGCCTTGTCCTCCTATCCCTCCGCCCCACTAGCTCCCGCCCTGTACACCTAGCCCCCCCGGCCCCCTAGCTGCGGCCCCTCTGGCTCCTGCCCTGTACATCTTGCCCCCCGCCCCCTAGCTGCGGCCCCTCTGGTTCCCTCCCTGCCCACCTAGCCCCCCACCCCCCTAGCTCCCGCCCTGTACACTTAGCTCCCCGGCCCCCTGGCTGCGGCCCCCTCTGGCTCCCGCCCTGCCCACCTAGCCCCCTGCCCCTCTCCCCGCCCTAGCTGTTGCGGCCCCTCTGGCTCCGCGCCTTGTCCACCTAGCCCCCCGCCCCCCTAGCTCCCGCCCTGTGCACCTAGACCCCGCCCCTCCCCCCGCCCTAGCTGCTGCGGCCCCTCTGGCTCCGCGCCTTGTCCACCTAGCCCCCCGCCCCCCTAGCTCCCGCCCTGTACACTTAGCTCCCCGCCCCCCTGGCTGCGGCCCCCTCTGGCTCCCGCCCTGCCCACCTAGCCCCCCGCCCCCCTAGCTCCCGCCCTGTACACTTAGCTCCCCGCCCCCTGGCTGCGGCCCCCTCTGGCTCCCGCCCTGTCCACCTAGACCCCGCCCCTCCCCCCGCCCTAGCTGCTGCGGCCCCTCTGGCTCCGCGCCTTGTACACCTCGATGAGCAGGTCCTTGACGTACTGGATCTCCCTCTCCACCGACTCGGCCCGCTCCCTCAGCTCCCGGTTCCGCGCCTCCAGCCCCTGGCACTCGCCCTCCAGGGCCTCGCCCTCTGCCCGCTTCCTCTGCCGGTACCTCAGAGCCGCGGACTTGTTCTGGTCTCTCTTCTTCTGCTTGCGGTCCCCTCGGGCCGTGGCAGGACTGGGGTAAGGGGCCGGGCGAGGGGCTGGGGGCGGGGGCGGGGTCTGCGGCGGCGGGGGCGGGGGCACCAAGCCCGAATCCCCCTGGCCGGCCTCGCCGCGGCAGTAGATGGCCAGCAAGTCCAGGGTGTCCAGGGCAGGGGGCTGGGGGAGGTCAAAGCTGGGGACGGGGAGGGGGAGGGCGGGCGGCGGCGGGGAGGGGGCCGGGAGCAGCGGGGCCTCGAGGAAGAAGTCCTCCATCTGCTCCAGCTCCTTCTTGAGCAGGGAGGCCATGGCTTCCAGGTCAGGGGCGGAGGGGGAGGGCGGGGGCAGGGCGCCTGGGGGCACGGTGGGCTCCAGAGGGAGGAGGGCGGTGAAGTCTACCCGCTCCGTCATCCAGTCCGAGAAGCCGTCCCCTGGGGATTGGAGGGGACACAAAGAGCCCTGAGCCCCCAACTCCGTGCCCCCAGCCCATGGCCACTCCACTCGGGCTGATCTGTCCCATTCACTCAGTAAACCAACAACCAGTCAGCCTGCGGTCAGGGAGCCAACAGACCAGTCCCCAAACCAGTGAGCCAGGCAACCAACCAACCAGCCAACCAGCTAGTCATCAGCCAACAAACCAACCAGCCAACCATCAGCCAACCAACTCACCAGCCAACAAACCAACCAGCCAACCAACCAACTCACCAGCCAACCATCAGCCAACCAACAAACCAACCAGCCAACCAACCAACTCACCAGCCAACCATCAGCCAACCAAGTCACCAGCCGGCCAATCCAGCGATTGGGGAACCACCCAGTCAATCAACCCATGAGCGAGATCATCACACGCACCCCCCTAGTCCTTCTTTACTAATTAGGGAATAGCCACCGCGAATCACACAGACACAGCAGTGCCTCTGCGAACGCTGCTCCCTCCACCTGCGCCTTCTTGGGGGCCAGGTCTCCCTGTGCGCCCCCCCACTAGCGCCAGGTCCAGGAGGGTAGCAATCCTGTCCCCACTGCACCCAACACAGCCTGGCATCCTGCACCCATTCACTTTAGCCAGTGAGCACCCGAACCCCCCCCCCCCACCGCGCCCCTGCCTCCTTACCTGCCAAGGGCTCTCCTCCCCCTGGAAGCCCGCCCTCCAGGGCTCCCCCCAGGACCTCATAGGGGCCCAGGGGGGCGGGGGCCAGGGGGAGCTTCCCATAGTCGACGAGCCAGCCCAGCCCGCTAGCTGGGAGCAGGGCCCTGTCCAGCTCCAGCCCCAGGGTCGCCAGCAGTGACATGGCCGTGGCACAGGCGCGGGGCAGTGGAGGCGGCTGCACTGACTGCGGCTGGGAGGCGGCTCTGCGGGTTGCTCAGCGGGGCAAACACAGGCACCGGGGTGATGGCGGAGGACCTGCAGGTTGGCGACAAGGGCCGGCGGGGTCAGCGGCCAGCCCGGCCTACCAGCCAGAGTCCCCGGGACACCGACGGGGCTCCATGGGGGGTCTCCACCCCCCAAGCCCCGAGCCCCACCCACTCCCAAGGGAATTCTCTTTGGGAGCAACCTGCCCAGAGTCCCCCAGCCCCACCCTTCCCCTCCCGCAGAGACCCAAGGTCTCCCAGGGGAATTCCCTGAAGCCCCTCCCACCCCCCCACAGCATCCTCCTCCTCCACCGAGATTCAGCCCCCGGGGCAGTTTCACCCAGCCGTCCCATCCTCTCAGATCGTGCCACAGAGCAGTCGCCCCTGTACCCCACTCCATCGCTGCCTTCCACTCAAACCCCACCCTTCCCTGAGGCGACGCCACCGCCCCGCCCCTCCCTGACAGGGCCGAGGCCCCGCCTCCTTGCCGGATCGAAACTCCGCCCCTCAGGTAAGGGCAGTGTCGGTCCCGCCCCTCCTCAAGCCCCGCCCCTCGCGACAGCCGGGAACCCACGGTCTACCCCAGTCCTAACCAGTCCTAAGTCCCACCTTCTACCCTGTCCATCTAAGCCAGTCCCCGCCCCCGCAAGGGCGTCATTGAACAGGAGGGAAGCCGCGCCATGAGAGCGCGCAGGCGCACTGTCGGAGAGCGGCTGCCCAACCCCCACCCCTCCACACGTGCGCTCTCGGCTGAGGGCCAAGGCGCATGCTCCGTTCAATTGTTCGCGCATGCCTCTGCCCGCTGGGGGATTGGTGCGCATGCGCAGTCCCTCACAGCGGCCCCTGCACGCGTACGAGGCGGATGCAAAAGTTCAGGGACGGAGAGAAAAACAACACTCAGCTTCTCTGGGGATTAGTACGCAGGCGCAACAGCACGCGGGCGGCCCGAAAGCCTCTAGAAAAACACCCTCCCTCCCCCCGGCCCAGCTCCGGCCGAGTGCGCATGCGCCGTCGCCCGCCCAGCTTCCCTCTTCTGCGCCTGCGCGACCGTGATTCCACGCTGACGTCCCCCCCACCCCCCAGCCCGGTCGTGAGGGCCGCGAGCTGCGAAAGGGCGGGAAGGGCGGTTGGAGAGGGAGGGGCGAGCGGTTACTCACTCCATGGCTGCGGCAAGAAGAGGCGGCGGCGGCCTCGGCTGAAGCGAGACGGTGGGAGCGGAGGGCGCAGGCGCGGTAAGCGCGGGGCGGGTTGGGGGCACCTGGGGCAGCGGCTACAGAGCCATGGCCGGGGCTGCGCGGGCAGAAGCGGCGGCGCGGCAGCGTGGTGTGCGGATGGGACTGAGGCGGCCCGGGGGACTGGGGACAGATATAGCGCGGGTGGCGGGCGCGGCCCGCGGATCCCTCCGCGCCCCGCCCCTGCGCGGCCGCCTCTCGGGGGCCCGGGGGCTCCTCCTCCCGCCCTCGCCCCCCTCGGGTCTGGCGGGGCCCCGTCCCTGGGGCTCGGGGGTCCGGCCGCGCACCGTGTTGCGTGCGTTTTGGGGTCCTCTCCAGCCGGCCCCACTCGGATCTCTCCGTGCCCCCCAACTGCCGTCCCACCCCGAGAAGCCGCGTGGCCCGGAGTCACCGTCAGCCCGCGTTCCACTCAGGTCCCGGACCTGCCAGCGGGGCCCCGGGGCAAAAAAAAAAAAAAAAAAAAAAAAATGAACTCTCCGGGCTCCTTTCTCTAAACAGAATAAGTTCGCTGTATCCAGAACACAGGCGCCCGCGTCCTGGTTAGGGGACCCTGCTCGGCCTCGCCGCACGTGGTGGACGCGGGCATTCGGGCCTTGTTGCCCTCCCCGACCCCTGGCCTCTGCTCGCCCGGACTGCTTTTCAGACAGCACTCGGCCGCCCCCCACCCCTGCCTGAAACGGGGGGCGGCGCGCACTTCCGGCCGGTTCCCAGGAGGGCGTGAGGTTGGGGGCCGCCCTGCCCCAGCCCGGTGGGTCCGGGGCTGTTCTCTGCTGCAGAAGACGCCTGCCTTCCTACCCTGCGCCCCTCCACCTAGAGGTCAGCCCCGGTTCGTCCGGGATCCGGCCTGTCCACTCTGAGCACGTGGTCTCCGGCCGGTCTTCCCGGGCCGAGGTCTCCCGTGGTGGGGGGTGTGTTCCGGCTCCATGGCTGCCCTGGGAGACTTGGCCGGTCTCCCCCACTTGCACGCGCAGGTGTTGGTGGGGTGGCGGCCACGCCGCTGGCGTGGAGGGGGCACGTCCCCCCCCCCCTTATGCACGGGGAGGGGGCACGTAATCTCGCCCCCGCCCCCTTATGCACGGGGAGGGGGTGTTTAATAAGCCGTGCTTGGGAGTGATGGAGGTTGACAGGGAGGTTGAGAGGTGTACAGCGAGTCTGTGTGGCCTCGCCCAGCGCCCCCGCGAACGTGGTCCTGTGGCACGTTAGTCGCCAGCCCGGGCCAGGAGCCTCGGCACGCCGCCCTCCCTTCACGCCTGTCCCCTCTTCCCCGTTGGGCCTCCACAGCCCCCCTGCTCTGTGGCGGTGGCCCCACACTTGGCCTTGACCGTTTTGAAGACCGTTCGGTACTTTATGGAAAATGCTTCAGCTTTTTAAAATTTATTTGAAAGGCACAGTTACAGGAGGGCTACTGCATCCGCTGGTTCATTCTCCCAACGGCCGCAGTGGCCAGGGCAGAGCCAGGCTGAGGCCAGGAGCCTGGAGCTCCGTGCAGGTCTCCCCCGCGGGTGCAGGGGCCCAGGCGCCCGGGCCGTCTTCTGCGGCCGTCCCGGTGCATCCGCAGGGAGCTGCAGCGGAAGTGGAGCCGCCGGGGCTCGGCTCGGCGCACGGATGAGACGCTGGCGTCATGGCGCAGCTTGGTACGCGGCCTTTGAGGGGGTGGCTGGGTGGGCTGTTTTGAATAACTGGAAGTGCAGATGCCCACCAGGAGAGCCCCGCGTCCCCCCGCCCCCAGCAGCTTGACTCAGTGGTGCTAAGTGGACGCCAGTTAGCGCCCTGCGCTGCTAGTGCGCGGGTGGGGCCTCCGCAGCTGCCTGCCACCCGGGTCGTGGTCTCTGGGGTTGGGGCGCTGGCCCCTTCACTCCTGGGCCGTGGCTGCTGGGACTCCTTTTTTGGTGCGGAGGCACCTGTCGGGGAGTGAGGCGGCCGATTGCAGGCAGGTTGCATCAGCTGTGGCTCTTTGCTGGGAGGAGCGAGAGGATTCTCTGGGGGCCCAGGAGCACCTGGCAACGGCTAGGCTCCCTCCCGCTTAGCCCTGCATGAGGGAGAGGCCCCACGCAGCCTGGTAAGGGGCTCGGAGGGGGAGGGGACCAGCCCCTGTGTGGGGCCCCAAGAATCCAAATGGAGCCTCGGGCGTGGGCCAGCTGCGGAGACCAGGCTGAGGCGCCAGGAAGTAGGAGAGGCGCGCAGAGCCCACCGTCAGGGCCCGGGGCCCTGAGCGGGCTCCAGGCCTGGACCTTCAGCTCACACCTCAGGTTTGCCGAGCTGTGTGGATCCAGCCTGCCCTCCCCTGTCACCTGCGCTGTTGCCGCAGCCCCCCGTGTTTCCCAGTCAAGGTAGCGCTTGGCGTGATGGAAAGGGCCCCAAGTTTTGCATCAGCCAGGACCCAGGTTCCAGTCCCGAGCCTCAGCACGGGTCCGAGCCAGGCGGCCCGCACACCTCCCACCTCCACCGCGTCTGGGACCCGGCTCAGTGGCCCAGGAGAGCTGCCCTCCTGAGCAGGGCTGGGGGCCGGAAGTGGGGCGGGTGAAGCCCAGCGCCGACGGGGCGCAAGGTCTGTGCGTGTTCACTCATCCCGCTCCGTCCACACTTTGTTCTGTATTGGAGGGCAAGGTCAGGCACCTCCTCCCCAGAATTGTCCCTCACGGCCCCAGGCTGCGACCTTGGAAGTGGTCAGGACATTTTTGTAAAAGATTTCTTTTTTTTTTTTTTTTTTTTTTTTTAATTTGAAAGTCAGAGTTACACAGAGAGAGGGAGAGGTCTTGCCTCTGCTGGTTCACTCCCCAATTGGCCACAACAGCCAGAGCTGCGCCGATCCAAAGCCAGGAGCCAGGAGCTTCTTCCAGGTCTCCCATGCAGGTGCAGGGGCCCAAGGACTTGGGCCATCTTCCACTGCTTTCCCAGGCCACAGCAGAGAGCTGGATCGGAAGTGGAGCAGCCGGGTCTTGAACCAGTGCCCATATGGGATGCTGGAGCTTCAGGCCAGGGCGTTAACCCACTGTGCCACAGCGCCGGCCCCCAAAAGAGTTGTTTTTGCGCAGAAGTTGGAGATTCAATACAGCGGCTGCTGCGCAGGGTCAGGGAGGGTAGCAGTCACGCAGACCAAGGGTGCAGGGGCTGGGGGTGGGCGTCCTGGCAAACAAGGGCAGAAGGCCAAGGCCAGCTCCGCTGCAGAAAGGGCAGCGTGGGGGTGGGCAGGCGGTCAGGCTGCCACGTGGCCGGCGGCTCAGAGTCCCCGCAGGAGCGCTCACAGCCAGGCCAGGCCCCCGCTGCCGAGCTGGCTGGGCATCCTTGCTGTCACCCTCTCTCGGTTTCCTGTTCTACTGTCACAGGTTGCCACGCACTTGGCTCCCTTAGAGCTCTGGAAGGAGGGGACTGAGGTGGTGCACAGCGCTGCGCTCCTGGGGCTCGGGGCAGACGCTCGTCCCCAGCCTGCGAGCCCACCTGTGTCCTTCAGCGGGGGCCTCTTCCTCACCTCCTATCGTGCCGTCGCCTGGCTCCCCCATTGCTCCTCCTGCCTCTCCCTGGAAAGACCTGCGGGCCTGTACGCAGGGCCCGCCTGGGTAACCCAGCGCAGCACCTGTGACACGGAGACAGGAGGAGGGCGGAACTCCAGCTGTGGACTGGCGAGGCCGTTGTGCCGCCTACCCTCCTCCCCGAGCCCCAGGTCCGGGCCTGGGATAGAGGACAGGGCCAGTTCTGGGTTGCTCCGTCCCTTGGCTGCTGTCACTCGCCCTGGTGGCCTGTGCTGCTGTCCCCTCCAGGGAAATGGGGGTGCAAGCAGAACCAGCACCTGGCTCAGCAGGTGAGAGCTGTCCCCCCAGCCCCGTGGGCCTGTGTCGGGGACACAAGGAGTACCTGGGCCCCTGGAACGGCGCAGGTGATGTCTAGGGCTGGCCCATGGTCCAGGAGCGGCTGGTTCCACGGAAACGGAAACGCTGGATTTTTTTTTTTTTCCTGTGAGATCGCAGTCTCAAAGGACAGCGAGTAATTCAGAAGGAACGCGGGAAACCGCAGCCGGTTAATCAGCCAGGGGCTCTGAGCCGGAGGGGCTGGGCGCTCCTGTGGTTGGCACGTGTCCCTGGAAAGGCCTCACAGGACACTTGGGGCCCCCTGGTGGTCCCCCCCAGCAGGTGCATGGGCAGGGCCCTGGGTTCCCTGACTCCTGCCCACCCTGCCACAGCTGGAAGAGTTGGGTGGCAGACGAGAGCAGGGCCCCTCCTCACTCCAAGCCTCTTGGGCCCCAGGGTGGGAGTCCCCTTGGATGCCTCTGTGAGAGCTGAGCTGCCCCAGGAGGTCGTGCGACGACCTGGGGTGTCACAGAGGGTGGGTGGGGTGCTGTGTGGCACCGAGGAGAGGCTAGCTGGGAGCCGGGCTGTGGTCAGAGTCCTAGTGAGCTGTGTGACTTCGGGCAAGGTCCTCAAGTTCTCTAGGCCTCGCTGCGCTTATCTGTGAAGGGGGAGTGACCCCAGTTCCCACCAGTGCAGATAAAGCCCGGAAAAGAGGACCTGTGTCCCTGAGATATTACTGTAGCCATTAGACTGGGGCAGAATCCGTCACCCTGCCCCCCACGCTGGCTGCTTTCCCTGGTTCCCAGAGAAACCTCTCCATGGCAACCCCTCCCTCCCTCCCCCGCTGACATGGTGCCTCTCCCCTGGGGAAGCAGGTGTTGATGAGTGAGGCGGGGTCTTGCCCCGACACGGCCCCTGCCCCCTGCTTCAGCCCCTCTCCAGGTCTCAGTGTGCTGTGCCTGCCCTGGTGGCCCCGATTCACTGCGGGGTTTCAAAACTCTGTCCACACCCCAGCCTGTTCTCACCCGGGTCACCAGCCAGCCCGGAGAGCAGGGTCCTGTTAGGAGCTCCAGCGTCCTCGGGGTGAGCTCCCTGCTCGCCTGCAGCCGCTCCGCTGGCCGCTTGCCCCTTGACTGGCAGCCCCTGGTTGGCTGGTGACCTGGGGGGTAGTGCAGGACCATCGTCCCCTCAGTCCTCCCTCCCACCCAGGCAGGC